GTGGTGTGACCAGCACCCCTGTCTGCATGGCCACCTCCCAGCTGGGTGCTAAACACTGGCTGTGACAACAGATTCATGTCACATTTCTGTTATTCAAAAGACCGTTTTCCTTCCACAGTCTTTTGCCCAACACATTTTATTGCCAGTAGCAACAAAGCAGTATCTGTTCACACAAAATACAGGTACTGCTAAACTGAAAAAAACCTTCCAACCCCTCAGATCTCAGAGTAATTAGTGTGTAGACATGGAAATTCTTAATAACATGTTAACTATTGTTGGAAAGATAATTTGTGGGAGTTCTCAAGCTCACTGGTTGGCATTGTTGAGAAGGAAAAAAGTTTAAAGCCTTTCTTTGCACACCATCCGATTTTTTATGCAATAAATCAGCTAGAAGTAGAGCCAAACTGAAAAATTTCTGCCATTTTATGCACCATGGAAACAAGAAACCTGTCAATCTGCAATTACCTATTCTACATCCATTTGAGATCAATTTCTGCTGTGGGAGTATAGCCAACAGGATCAGATCTACAACCTGTGTTTGTCATGGGAGATGGACATAATTTATTTTTTGTTTCAGTCTCAAATAAGTACAAATATTAAAACATAAATCAGATTGATGTCAGGGTGCATGTTAAACTGCATTACTGTCTAATAAAGACTATAAACTTTTCTCATGTAATTTCTTATATCAATGTCAACAAAGGGATATAAAAATATTCAAAAAGTGTTCATCCATAAATTCCACTGTGATAAAACTGCACACTGATTTCTTAAGTGATCTCATATATTCAGATTTTCTTCTAGAGCTGAAACACTGCTTGCTTGAGTCCTATGAAAGCTACTTATTTTTAACAGCTCATACTAATTTCATATTTTCCCCCCATAAATTAAAAACTGCCTCTTTTTAAATTAGAGATAATTTGTCTGATGGACTACTTTAGCCTGAAGGTTTATTGTGTTTAATTCAGAGCTTTTGTACCTTTCAAATGCTGATGCTAATTTGTGAAACTCTCAAAAATACATTTTAAAATTCTCAGTATAACAAGTTCTTAAAAGAACTCACGTGCTTCGGCATCATGTGCATCATCCCTTTCAGTGGGATTCCCCAAAATCGTGCACAGCTTAAGTGCTTTTCTGTGTTCGGTTTCAAACTCTCATGTTAATTAAGTGTGCTCCAAGCAGAATTAATGGTTATGACTGCCTACAGTGCTCACAGCAGCTACAAGGCTCTCTCAGCTTTGACTCAAACCATTAAAATAAAATGAGCAGTGATAGCACATTTTCAGTATCTCTAGCAATACAAAAGGCAGGCAAAGCCAGGTGAGGTGATGTGGACAGGCAAGGTTTAGATCCTCCTTCCAGGCACGAGAAGATTCAGCAAGGCAGGTGATACAGGCATAATTCTGCTTCTTTAAAAGAGGGTAGTAGTTGAATGCATAACTAGTTCTCCCCAAATGTTATCTCCAGTAACTCTTATTTCACCAGGCAGCAAACTGGGGCAGGCAAAGAGCAGACATTTATGTACAACTGAACACACTGTTACAGTATTTACATACTAAAATAGGAGTGAAAACTCCTTCCCACAATCCACATGATGGTGTGTCTTCATCCATGGTGCAAAGAGGTTTTGTGAGGCCCGATTACAAATTGCTACCCAGAACAACTACTAATCATTTACCAGAGAAAACCATCATTGTTGAACAGTTACTCTCCATAGGTGTTCACAGCAGAATCAAGTGACTTTCTGGGGACACCGGTTATCCACAGCTAGTTATTTGGTTCCATACAGGTGTAAGTGGGTGAAGTAGCAGCTCAGATTATTCAATGTATTTCCCTTTGAATTAAAATTCATGACTTATTAATTGCATTTTAAATGCACGCTATCTGGCACAAAGAATATGGTCTTTGAAAAACTCTAATACTGATCAATTACATAACATTTCCATAATGATACAGGAACACTGAGCATTTTCTCCTCTATGTACTTTCATGTGATTTCTTAAATCCCAGATGGAGAATAATTTGTCTTCAGTCTAGTTCTACTTGAGGCACTACCAGTCTGACATTTTGCTTTCAGGTTCTAGCAACATCAGTATTAAGATCAGAGGTATTAAAACTTAGAAAATCTGACACATTATGTCAAATTACAAAGACAGTATCTGAGAGCAAATGGAAGAACAGACAGACCGAATTAAGTAGCAGAAAAGGGGAAAGAATTAGAATGATAGGAGGGAATATAGGGTCAAATGTACAAAAGTGAAAGATTAAACAAGTATTTTAGTGTAATCAGATGGGTGCGAAGAAAAAATATTGAACATTAAACACTGTCGAAAACACAAATGTAGGGATAAAAATTCAGACATAAAACATGTAGCTACATACAGTATGGGCATGGTGCCATTAACATTTATGCACATACAAGACTTTATTTGCAACATTTGCATAAGCTAGAAGGTAATACTCATGTGAGTTATACGTACAAGAAGTAGCAGGATTTGGCCTTTCACTGTTTTTCCTTGTGTATATCATGTATATCTGTAAAACATTCAAGCAGGCATTTCAGCTTCGAAGAAGACAGAACTTGGAACTAATAGGACCTAAGGGAGACCTTTCCAGGAAAGCTGGTGGAATTGCAGTTCTGCAAAGCACCAAGAGGAACACCCTAAGGACTAATTATCTGACAATACAACTAATGCTATTACCTTGAAGCATAACAAAGTTAAACCTGCAGCTTGCGTGGATGTGGAGTACTTGCTGGAGGAAAGCACAATCGATGAGTGAATCCAGAATCGGAGAATCCTAATTAACCCTCTAACAGCTATCAGCAGGAAGGCTAATAGCAATTCTGAAGTGGTGTAAATGACTTAATCCTAAGAGATTGCTTCTGTTAATGAGACACTGACTGTTAGCTCTCCTCAGCCGTGTTTACAGTAATGAGGCACCTTTATAGGGCAATAAGCAACTGGTTTGCCTAATAATAGGCTGGCATTCTCGTGAGTGACAGAAGTTACTGTCTGTGTGACACGAATTATTGTCCTCATTCTACAGGTAGGAAACTAAAGTCCAGTATGTCACTTTCCATAATCCACTGGTCGGGCAAGGGATGGAGTTTATGGATCAAGGTCGTTTAGGATGACACTACAATTCTCCTCTAGAAGGTGACATTATTGCTCTACTGGGAATAACGTTTTATAGGATGTTAAAAACATGAAGCATAAAAAAACCCCAATACAGTCTGTCTTTAGTAATACAAGTAAACTTCTTACATAGTATTCTCAATGTGAAACTACAAAAAAAAAAGACATTAAAAGTCTTTAATCTAGCAATCAAAAGCCCATGACCTTCCTTCTCCAAGAGCTTTTGGCTGTGGCTTGACAAAAAGGCACAAAATCTCAATATTGTACATATATGGGTAACCAAATTATATGGAGCTAGGCTTCCCAATACTACTTCCCTCATCTCAGATGGTTCGGCAGACTACTAGGTTATTATCTTATCATTTCTATCCACCTCTGCCAGTACTTGCCTCAGCTTCATTTGCACCACTAGAAAGATGCAAAAGATAGGCTTCCACAACACTAAATAAAAATTCAAACCTATATAAAAAAAATACAAACAAAACAAAAAAAGCTACGTCTTATTGTTTAATTTCTTCAAGATATCTATTTTGCAAAGTGCAGCTAGAAATACTCGTACCAAAATCAAATTAGTCATTCAAGCACCATCCACAGCAACAATTTATACAAGACTTTGCTGCAGCATACATTGTTTCCTAAAAAACATTAAACAATCCACTGATTATATTATTTCAATTACAATATTCAGACTTTGCAAACTATTGCAACACATACAAGTTTAGTAACAGAAAATATGGATTTCAATAGTTACAATACTGTGGGCTTTACGGAAACTATGTTTTCCTTGAAATGATACTTGAATATTCTTGAAGAAGGAATTACCTTTAGCCTATAAAATAGAATTTCTGGCAACACTCCATAAAGTAGAACACAGTGGCCTCTAAAAATAAGCCATGGTGCTATCAGCAGCATAGATTACTTTTTTCTGGCAGAGAGAGCCCAATGCATCCAGAAATGACTGCGAGGGGCTACAACCAGCCAGCAGCAGGTTCAGCCATCCCAGCTGCCCTGGCCTTGTCACCATCCAACCTGGGCACACCCTATTGTGGTGGCACCACCACCATAAGGCTGCCAGCACCACCAGGCAGCTGGTGGCATCCCCCGTGGCAGGGAGTGCTGCAGAGCTGCCCTGAGGTGGAGGCGGTGCTGCGGCCACCCTGAACCTGAACGGGATGGGAAGTCAGGGGCTGTATTTCTGTTTGTGTAAATATGCATGTGTGGGCTTTCATATGTATGTACCTACACACACCCATGCACAATGTGCACGCACGGATAGGTACATATCTAAAATCACAGAATGAGCTGAGGTGGAAGGAACGACAAGGATCATTGAATCCAACTCCTGGCCTTGCACAGGACCACACCATGTGCCTGAGCATGCTGTCCAAATTCTTCTTGAACTTTGCCAGGCTGGCGCTGTGACCCCTTCCCTGGGGAGCCTGTTCTGCTGCTCGGCCACTCTCTGAGTGATGAACCTTTTCCTCATATCCAACCTGAACCTGCCCTGACACAGCTTCAGGCCTTTCCCTCGGATCCTGTCACTGAGCACCACAGAAAAGACATCAGTGCCTGCCGTTCCTCTTTCCCTAGTGAGGATGTCGAAGACCGCAATACACACACACACGCACACACACACGTGTATATTTATATATGTATGTACATATGCACTTGAGTACGTATATACGTGTGTCTGCGACCGCCGGTGCGTGTCCGTACGCCCCCCGGCACCAGCCCCGCCCCAGGCCGCCCGCGCAGCCGCCGCCCAAGGCCCGAGGCGGGCGGGTCTCGTTCCCTCACTCGGAGGCGCCCGGCCCCTGCCCGTCCGCTCGCTCTGCCTGACGGGGAGCGGCGGCCCGGCCTTACCCTCGGCCTTCTCCTGTTTCTCCGCCATGGCCGCAGCGCCGCGCTGTCGCCATGGCGACGCGGGCCTGCTGGGCCCTCTGCTCAGGCCCCGGGCCGGGCGTCGCGCCCCGCCGGGCCGGGGAGGCGGAAAACGCGCCCCAGCCCCTCGTAGGGCCCCGCTGCACCCCAGCGCCCTTGCAGGTCGGGATCCAGTGAGCCCTTTCAGCCTGCCACCTCAAAGGACTCCATTTGTCTTAAAAGCACCGCTTTCCCCAGCAATTGCTGGAGATTTCCGTGTGTCTGAGCTGTAGAAAGTGAAAGAACATTTTATTCGAAAGAACATTTTATTCGAAACGCCATCACGCCAAAACAGCTAAAATATTCTGTCTTAGTGATATTAAATAAAACTGTGCGGTTTAAATTTAGCTGCATGTTTTAGCAGACAGGGTTGCGATGCCTGGTTCTTCTGACTAAAACAACTGTGAAAGTAGAAAAAAAAATACAAGTATTAATATTCTGGCAAGATGCACCATATATTCCTAGAAAATAAATATTTATGAAATTCTTAGAACTAAAACCTTGTCCTCAGTACAGCAGGTGCTTGTATGTCAGAAGTTCGGTTTTGCAAAGCCCGCATGGATGATGACTCCTCACACAGTTCCACCTCTCAAACAGTTAATGATGTTCTCAGTATTCATGGAAGCCTGAAATTTCAAAAAACACATAGAGCACAAACAGGACTTCCTTGTTTTTTAAAAAAAAAAAAAAATCACATTTTTCGTAACATTTTACATTTGCTATTTGCCTTTCAGCCTCCTATTTTTGCATTTTTTGTTGAACATGGCTCAGAGTAAAGAGGGTATAATAGATACCCAAGAGAATACATATTTACTCTGTTGGGAAAACAGCTGATTATGCTCTCTAACAAAGCTGATCCCTCTGAAAGGTTATCTAGTGACTTGAGTAGTTTATTAAAGTAACTAAGTATTTCAAACTACATGTACAGACTACATGTCCTCTCAAATTGCTAACAGAAATTTTGGTGAGAACAGCATGGCAGATGAATTTAGAGGATGCAGCAGCAGAAGAAAAAGCCTTTATCTTTCAATGCTATTTCTTATCCCCTTAACCCCTCCACACAGAAAACTTGTCTTTCCTGATTGTAGGTCTCTGATGGTGGGTCACATGTTTAAAACTGGAGAAAAGTGCAAAATACATTGTTTTGGCAAGGATGGACCTCTCTTATCTCTTCCCTCCCCTACCCCAAATGTCGAATTTCATGTTCTTGAATACTGTGCCCAACATTACGTTTCTTATATTATTTTCCAGGTCATTCATCATAGAACACTCACAGCTCTTATATAAATGCTACACTAATTCAATATATTTACTACATATCCCTAAAAAAAGCTTAATAAAATCCTGTTCCAGTTATTCAGGTTTTCATGACAATCCATGCCCAAAATATGAAAAACTCTTAGTTTTAAAAATAAATACAAGTATTGCATATTGTGTATATTTATTGAGATTATTGTGTGTTTATAGTAGACTTTTAATGGAAGTGAGTCACTGCAACTGTGAGATGATAAGACAGTAACTCCACTCGGGCACCCACCTTTAACATCTTCCCAGCAATTTCTTCAGGGCTTGCACTTGGCTTTCCTCACAACCCCATCGTATTTGACAGGTGCTAATCTTTGTTTCCTCCCAGAGGGATGGTAAGAAAAGCAGTGTGTAAATGCTGATGAAGAAAGGGGAAATCGTGAAGTATGCCACAGCTATGACATGTCCTTTACATCACAACATCTATGTCCTGTCGTAGCTGCTGACTCTGGCCCATGTGAGCTGCTAGTGTAGCTCCTTGGGGAAAGTGTTGTTATGAGTATATAAAGGCTTTGCTTAAATCCTGGATGTTCATATCAAATTTGTTAAGTTTGATAACTTTAGCCTAGCTGCAGAATCTTCAGTGGCTCAGAGCTGATAGAAATTTCAGCAAATAGCATTTTGCACTGTCCTGCCTATGCTGTTGAGATTCCACTCAGGACAATTACTGTAAATCAAAGTGCTTCATTTGCATTGTCCACTCTAGCCTGGAGTTTCCTTTTGCTTCCAGTAGCTTGCAGCCAAGCGTCCTTATTCTACCAATTCCTAACACATCAGGCTTTGGTGTCTTGCCTGTCTCCAGGAGGAGAACAAAATACTAAATGAGAAAGCACTTCAAAATGAAAACTCACTGCTTTAAAATTTCCTGGCAATGTATCTTGAAAAATCTGTGCAGGAAAAAAATGTTAACAACTATAATGCAGATCAAATACTGGACCTGAACCATATAGCTGTTTCCCTTGTAACTTAATGCACAGATATCTCAAACCAAGGGTATGAGTGGGCTGAAACAACTAATCACATTTTGGCACAGACGAGTACAAAAGGAAACCCAGAACTACTAATTCAACAGCTTGAAATATCAGCTGCTGCATGCAAGATCTTTACAGATCTCCTCTGAAGAGAACATACCCTTTTAAAATTGTGATTTGTCGTTTTAAAAATGTCAGAAAAATATCTCAGGAAAATTATGGAAGAATCCAGCATTATTGATACAAAGTATGAATCCACTGAAGTGTCATAGACATAAGGTTCCCTTACCTCCACTCCTAATTTCATCACGTACATTCCTCTCAGCTATCAGGGTCCTATCACACATTTTGCATATTTTCCGTGCATATGTTCAGAAATGTTATTCAGCAATAAAAAACAGGTCTAAAATGGGAGAAGCGACGTAAGAGAGAGCAGTTCAAGGAGATACAATAACATCCTACAAAGCTGTGTCCCCCCATGGCTCCAGGGCTGCAAGCATCTCAACACATCTTTGCTCCATTTGCCAAAGACCTTCACTATAGGATTCCCTCTATGGGTCCTTGGGGACCATATAACTGAGGGCACAAAGAAGCATATTCATTAGTCCTTCACCAAGAGAGTAGGTGGATAAGTATGATTCTGTGATAGGACTCTTACCTATAGCTCCTCTGCAGCTAAAGGGGTGCAGCTGTGCTGTTCAGCAAGCATTTCCATGTCACTGTACCCTTTTTCACCAATGACCCAAGTGTACCTTCATTCCGCTCTTCCTCTGGGATCAGCAGCTGATTTCAGTGACTCAGAAACAGATTCTTCAAAACAGAGCATTATCTAAACATTAGCTGTTCACCCAAGTGATACACAGTAACCAGATAAAAATGAGAAAAATACTCCATCCTTCCTTGCCTATACTGTACCTTTCTCTACAGAATTTAGGTAAATTACACTTGAAAGCAGCTACCTCGTTCCTTCATGTGTAGGAGGGGAAGACAGCTTCTCCTTTGGCTTGTTCTCTTTGTAACTGCAGGCTTTGATCCTATCCTTGGGCTAGATGAAGAGAATCCTAACAGAGTGGGCAGAGGCAGACATGCAAGCATGCCCTCCATTATTTCCTTTACCACTGACCTCTTCTGGTCTACTGGTATATCTATAATAACCTTACCTGTCATAATTTTGCTTTCTTTCAAAAATATAATTCTTCCTGTTCTCACCTACAGACAGCAAAAAGTACATAAATTAGCAAAGGATTTACATTATTTTTTATATAGGTGATAAACCTAGAAGCCCAAAATCTGACCTCTTAAAAAAAATGTCAGCATATGATTCCTTGACACATACAGAGTTCACCAGTGCTGAAAGGGGAAGATCTAAGTCTTGCCCTTCCTTCCCTCCTGCTGGCTGCACATCTTCCTTCTACCTTGTGCTAGCTCTGCCATTTGCTGAGAGCAGATATAAGTCACAGAGGTAGTAAAAATACAATCTATCAAAAAGTGAATAGTGTTCTGCTCTATTAAGAAACTCAGAAAAGGATCTGACAAGCATCTCAATCAGAACATCCAGGAAGTTGGACCTTGCAATTAGAAGAAAGGAAAAAATAGAGGGGAAGGCAGGGAGGGTGAGATGTTCTTTTGGAGGGAAAAAGCTCAGTAGGTGTCTGAGTCCATAAGTAAAACACTGAGGGAAGAAAGGGGGGAAATCAGGTTTGAAGGCTGCTGATAATAGCAGCATCTCAAACCCTTCTCAGCCATGGGATGTCTTTGGAAATGTCCTGGCAAATATCTCTTACTGCTCATGTACAGCTACAATCCTATGGATCTTTACTTCCTCCTGTCCAGCTTCAACAAAGCTGCATTTGAGGAAAAGTGACTGAACATACATTAAAAATGAGTTGCTAGGAAAAAGGAAGCATTTCTTTACTGCAGCAATATTCTTCAATGTCAAGGAGCTGCTGGCAGTGCTCGGCCTCTGGGATTATGCCTAAAGAGCTGCAGCAGAAAAAACCTCTTTCTTTTATATGTAAGTGTCAGGATACTGCTCCCCATCCCACCCAGGCACAGAAATGGCCCTAGAGATCCATATATTTTAACCTTCAGACTTTATTACCATTAATTATATCTGGAAATGAAGCCAGGATCCCCAAGAACACGGTAGCAGGAACAAAACACAATCATCCATCTGCCTAGCAACATGGGTTGCCATGAGTACTTCTCCCCGTGCTCCACAGGCAGCAGGGGCTCACCACTGAATGCTGAGCCAAGCTCAAGGGCCCCATACTGGTATAGAAAGCCTGCTTCCTCAGATGGAGACCTTGCATTCCATCTCCAGGACTTTCCTCTGGAGCCTAGAGTGTGTCAGCCAGCAGCCTGAAATTTGGAAATTAGGGACTTCTGGAGTACTGAGACAATGCCAGTAGAATTGCTCTTGCAAGAAGCAAAAGCAATGATGTTGTGAACATCAATGCCATTAAAACTCCATTCTACCCTTCTCTGTTCTTTAGAGGAAGTTCTTTCCATGTTTTAATACCATGCCAAAAAATCCCCAATAACATACTATCAAATCACTGACTTTTCATACTTACGAAGAAAAGAAGAAAAACCTGAGAGTGGTACTGAAGACATGGAAATACTTCATAACATCCCTAGCTCAGGATATCTTTGAAGCACAAACCATTTGTATGAGGTTGAGAGACAGAGTATTTAAGATATTCGT